TGATTTTGCTAGGATTATTTATAGATAAAAGAGTTTCTCGGATTTCCTTGTTTCATTTGTGGTTTATTTATTCATAAGTTACCACATATTTTTGGCGACGAGGTAAACTGGACGCGTGTTTCCCGTTTTGTTTTCTTGTTAGCGGTAGCAGCACAGGCTGCACGAATGGCGACGTTCGGGACTGTCGGCGAATTCGTGGAGGGAGACGAAGATTGGACGGAGTATGAGGAAAGGTTGGGACACTTTTTCGATGCTAATGGCATTAGGGAAGAGGATGAGGCTAAAAAGCGCTCGATTCTCCTGAGTGTGTGCGGGGCAAAGACTTATAAACTGATAAGGAATTTGGCCACGCCGCGGAAACCGGGAGAAGTTCCTTATAAAGAACTAGTTCAGCTCGTCAGCAATCACCACAATCCGAAACCGTCAGTCATAGTTCAGCGTTTCAAGTTTCACAGCCGGTTCAGGAAATCAGGTCAGTCTGTGGCAAACTTTGTAGCAGAGCTTCGGCAGCTATCAGAGCATTGTGATTTCGGGGCAGTGCTAGACGACATGCTCCGAGACAGGCTGGTATGCGGCGTAAATGACGACGCCATTCAGCGCCGCTTGCTGGGGGAAACCCCTCCTCTGACTTTTAAGAAAGCGTTTGAGATTTCTCAAGGAATGGAGACGGCGGCTAGCAACGCCAAGGACATTCAGAAAGGCCACTCGAGCTCACACACTGTACCGGTACACCAGTTAAAGAAGGACATTGCAAAGTCTTCAAGACGAGTGGAATGTTTTAGGTGTGGAGGCGCACACTATGCAAATGTCTGCAAATTCAAAGACTCGATCTGCCATGGCTGCAATAAAAGAGGACACTTGGTAAAAAAGTGTAACAGTACTGGAAATAAGGCTAAGATAGAGAGAGGAAAAGCTCAGCAGGCTCCCGCAGACACCCACCATGTAGCGGAAGCCAGTGAAGAGGCGATGTGTGCGTTCAACATGTTTGGGGTGGAAATGGATGAGGATCCGCCCATGCCCTATTACACTACAGTTGCAGTTAACGGAAGGAACATTAAATTTGAAATTGACTCAGGGGCCACAGCATCAGTCATCAGTGAGGACACCTACAAGAAGACATGGGGGTCAAAGCAGCCTCCCCTTTGTCCGTCAAAGCTCAAGTTAAGGACATACACAGGTCAGCCCATACCCCTTTTGGGAGTGTTGCAGGTGGTCATTGCAGCAGGAAGTCAGAGTGCCGAGGGTAGACTAGTGGTAGTTAAGGGTACAGGGCCCAGTCTGCTAGGCCGTNGCAGACACCCACCATGTAGCGGAAGCCAGTGAAGAGGCGATGTGTGCGTTCAACATGTTTGGGGTGGAAATGGATGAGGATCCGCCCATGCCCTATTACACTACAGTTGCAGTTAACGGAAGGAACATTAAATTTGAAATTGACTCAGGGGCCACAGCATCAGTCATCAGTGAGGACACCTACAAGAAGACATGGGGGTCAAAGCAGCCTCCCCTTTGTCCGTCAAAGCTCAAGTTAAGGACATACACAGGTCAGCCCATACCCCTTTTGGGAGTGTTGCAGGTGGTCATTGCAGCAGGAAGTCAGAGTGCCGAGGGTAGACTAGTGGTAGTTAAGGGTACAGGGCCCAGTCTGCTAGGCCGTGACTGGCTTCAGAAAATTAAGCTAAAGTGGCACGAAATTAAGTACGTTCACACAACCGAGGATATTCTGCAGCGATTCAGAGAGGTGTTCAGAGATGAACTGGGTACTCTGAAAGGAGTGTCTGTGAAACTCCATGTGGACCCAAATGCTACACCCCGTTTCTATAAGCCTAGAACGGTTCCCTATGCAATGAAAGGCAAAGTGGAAGAGGAGTTGGAGCGATTACAGGCGTTAGGGATAATTGAGCCTGTCCTGTTTTCGAGGTGGGCAGCTCCCATTGTTCCTGTCATGAAACCGGACAAAACAGTACGGATATGTGGGGACTATAAGCTTACCGTGAATCAGGTTGCCAAGCTGGAGGAGTACCCGTTGCCACGGGTGGATGATCTGTTTGCGACTTTGGCAGGGGGTAAGATGTTCACGAAGCTGGACATGAGCCATGCTTACCAACAACTATTACTGGATGAGAAGTCGAAGGAATATGTAACAATAAACACACATAAAGGGTTGTTCAAATACAACAGACTGGTCTTTGGCGTGGCCTCCAGCCCGGCCATTTTCCAAAGGACAATGGACACATTGTTACAAGGGATTCCACAGGTAGCAGCATATTTAGATGATATTTTGATTACAGGGACTACCGAGGTTGAGCATCTAAGTAACTTGGAGCAGGTACTGAAAAGAATCGCTAAGGCAGGGTTGAGACTGAAGTGTGATAAGTGTGTGTTTATGGCACCAAGCGTGACTTATCTGGGACATAAGATCTCTGCTGAGGGGCTTTGCCCAGTAGAGGAGAAAGTGAGAGCCATTAAGGAGGCTCCAAGCCCTAAGAACATCACTGAGCTTAGATCTTTTCTGGGCATGGTAAATTATTACGGCAAATTTCTTCAAGATCTCTCAACGGTCCTGAAGCCACTGTATACACTGTTGCAACATGACACCAAGTGGCAGTGGTATGAAGAGCAGGAGAAAGCTTTCAAAGAAGTAAAAGAGCTACTTCAATCAGCAAAGTTGCTGGTACATTACGATCCAAACAAAGAGATTACACTCTCTTGTGATGCCTCACCCTATGGCCTAGGCGCAGTCCTATCACATGTCATGAAGGATGGGTCAGAGAAGCCTATTGGTTTTGCTTCACGTACATTAACGGCAGCAGAAAAGGGGTATTCGCAGCTAGACAAAGAGGGTCTTGCCATTGTGTTTGCTGTAAAGCGGTTTCATCAGTACTTATATGGACGTGTTTTCAAGATTCATACGGACCATAAGCCACTGATGAGCCTGTTCGGTGAGACACGCTGCATTCCTCCGTTAGCTTCAGCCCGTATCCAACGATGGGCATTGATATTGTCAGCTTATCAGTATACTATAGAGTACAGAGCAGGAAAAGACAATGGTAATGCTGATGCATTGAGTCGCCTGCCGTTGCCGGAGACGCCTGCCTTTACACATGTGCCACCAGAGACTGTGTTTTCGCTAGAGAAGTTGTCCGAGACACCGGTCAAGGCATCTCAGGTCAGGTTGTGGACAGAGAGAGATTTGGTGCTATCTAAGGTAAAGACTTTCTTGTTACAAGGATGGCCTAAAATCGTTCAAAGCGAAGAACTGAGACCTTATATGAAACGTAAGGCGGAGCTGAGCCTACAGGATGGTTGCATTTTCTGGGGTACGCGAGTCGTAGTACCGCCACAAGGCCGTGCACAAGTTCTAGAGGAAATACATGAGACACATCCTGGAGTGTCAAGGATGAAAAGTCTAGCAAGGTCCTACGTATGGTGGCCGAAAATGGATTTGGACCTGGAAAACAAGGTGAAGTTCTGTTCACAGTGTCAGTCCAATCAGAAAATGTC